GAGCTAAACCAATTGGGCTCATTTTGCTTTTGATTTGCATTTCCCTGATGATTGGTGATGTTAAGCATCTTTTCATGTACCTGTTTTATGTCTTCTTTGGAATTCTTTGTCTCTAGAGAGAAGTATATTCTCACTTTAAACATCAAAGCCAATGGTTTGCTCTTGGGCTGCCCTCGGGGATTAGGTTACCTGGATTTTTGTTAGAATTATTAGTCTTTTCATAAGTGTGATTACTTTTCCAACTCAGTTTCCTCTTTGACAAGAACTAGGAATCTTCATTAAAACTACTAATCACAATTATTAGAGTGAATCAGTCCCCTCAAAGGGCAATTTGTAAAGAAAACCAATACATACATAAAATGGGGCTTTTTTAAAAAATTAAACCATAAAAACTATTAATCACTGTGTCACGTAAGCCTGATTTCACCCTCAGACTTGATTAGATAGAATGCCTCTTTCAACTTCTCAGAACTCTTTCTCTTGGAGTCAGACCCCTTATTGGACGGCCCTAAACACTTTCCCACTAGGTGGGCTATTCTGGCCACGTAGCTTCAGTTTTCTGTACAAATTAAAGCAAAATACCTTTGTGGTGTTTCCTAGCTGCTTTTTATGGAATTGCTAGAAAATAAATTATTCTGGTGGCTGACTCCCCTCACAGTTTTTTGTTGAATTAATCCCTAAGATATTTCATAGAATTCTAGAATTTCAGGATCTTTTGCCTTAAAGATTCAAGCTTGGTTTGGGGAGTTTGTTGTCATTCCTGATTCAGAGAGATGTAATATAAATTATTTTTCTGGAATCCTTGTCCTCTTTTTACAAATTATAAAAAGACTAGAGGCCCGGTGCATGAAAATCATGCACTGGAAGAGGCCCTCCCTCAGTCCAGCCTGCACCCTCTTGTAGTGTGGGAGACCTCAGAGCATGTCTAGTTGTTTCACTGAACTCCAAACTGTTCCATCCCATGTACATATTGAAATTTGAATATAAGCAGTCCCTTTGTAACCACCATCTCTGTAGCTGGCTCTGGTGTAGAAACGAGGTTTACAAAAAGCTACTTTGTTCAGATTGAAAATATTACCAAGTTCAGGACTTTATCAAAACAAATCTGTTTTTTGTGTTTTGTTTTTTTAAAAAAATCATTTTAGCACACATCCAAAAAGAGAATTTGACTTGGCTTTAAAAACAAAAATGTAAAGTGCTTTCATGGGTATAATATGCAACATTATATTCCTTTATACTATATCTGTTTTTCCCCTTTTTTCCTGCATTTGTAAGAAAACTTTTTTTTAAAATACATTTTATTGATTTTTTTACAGAGAGGAAGGGAGAGAGATAGAGAGCTAGAAATGTCGATGAGAGAGAATCATCGACCAGCTGCCTCTTGCACACCCCCTACCGGGGATGTGCCTGCAACCAATGTACATGCCCTTGACCGGAATCGAACCTGGGACCTTTCAGTCTGCAGATCGACGCTCTACCACTGAGCCAAACCGGCTTTGGCTGTAAGAAAACTTTTTGACTTAACCTTGAAAATTATAGTTTCTAGAACCTGTGTAGAAACTTTTTTGTTTCCAAAATTATAATGGCTTTGGTTTCATAGATTCTATAACTTAAAAAGCAAAAGAAAGAAGGAAAGTGTTAGATTCCTATATATCCTATATATATGTAACATCTAGGAATGTACCACCTTTGTCACTGAAAGTCACCATTGTGTGTCTTTTATGCTGAAAACAGGAAACTCTTGATAGCATAATGCCAATAGTGACTTTAGACAGTTTCTGCCTGTGTAGGTATTTAGTATGACTTGACGATACTGATTTACATCGAGTTGGGGAACTATTTTGCGGTTAACCAGGATCCAGGAACAAATGCTTTGGAGAGAAAACCCCAGCAAGAGCTTTGGGCTTGATCATTGAGTGAGGCTGGCTCAAGTGCTAGTTTCCATCATGACGTCACATTGCTGTTGGCTACCAAAAAGGAAAAGGCAGTAGCATTTTGCTCTGCAATCAGCTAATTGGGAGACAACACAGGCTCCCTTATAGGGTTCCCAGAGCCTGGTCAGTGAACAGGGGTGTATCTTCAGAACTGCAGCCGGACTAACGGAGGGCTGGTGGGAGAAGAGCCTTATGCTGACTGAACTCATACTGTCTTTTCAGTAAGAATCCCCAGAGTATGTGATGTAAGCAAAAGGGAAAAACAGATATAGTATAAAGGAATATAATGTTGTATATTATACAAATGAAAGCCACTTTACATTTTTGTTTTAAAGCCAGGCCTGGGATCAAATCAGCAAATTAGAAACCCAAGAGTGACCAAAATAAATAGAACCACTGATTGTTTAATAAGCACACCAGAGCTGAGACATCCAAATGAGAGAGAGTGGGCCCTTCTAAGTTGTCCCCTGGGAATCTGTGCACTTTTTCCAACAGTGCTGCTGTTGCTAAAAATATTTTGGGTATTTTTCTTTTAACTGTACAGTTAGAGTCTACCACATAGGCTGTTCTCCTGTTGACAGATGTTTATCTTTAGAAAGATGAAGAGGCTAACTGAATATTTAGAAATAACCAAAAGTCATTCTGAGTTCTTCTTGGCAGGAAATGTAGGAGAATGATCAGGTGGACAATTTTGTTTGGGTTAAAAGTGAGATCTGATATTTTTACATGGTCTATTTTCTAGTTCTTAAAAAAAATAATATATATATATATATATATATATATATATATATATATATATATATGTATTCATTTCAGAGAGGAAGGGAGAGGGAGAAAGAGGAAAGAAACATCAATGATGAAAGAGAATCATTGATTAGCTGCCCCCTGCACACACTCTACTGGGGATGGAGCCTGCAACCCAGGCATGTGCCCTTGGCTGGAATCGAACCTTCAGTCCACAGGCTGACGCTCTATCCACTAAGCCAAACCAGCTATCTTCTAGTTCTTAAAGCAGTTTGTCAAGAATTACTTCAAAGCTACTTTGAATAAGGGAAGCATAGTTGAAATAAGTACATTGTTTCTGGATGTGTCTACTTTGATAATACAGTTAGTCAAATGAATACATTCTGGTTATATATCTTGTAAAGCCTTATTATCCTCTAGTTTAAGACTATTTCAAAGTACCATGAATTGCTGTTGGACTCTTACTATGGTCAGAGTTCCCAGTACTAATGAAACTGTACAGAAAGAGAAAGAGAGCTACTAAATAGAATAGGATATGGAGAGAATGTTAAAGTTACTTTGCAAGTTTACCTTACACTAGGCTCCCAGTTTTTCTTCTGTAAAAAGGAATCTATCTATACTAACAAAAGCCTAGGTGGCCCTTGCTCGATAATCTCACGTCATCACAAGATGACCACCCCCAGGTCATCACAAGATGGCCACCGCAAGATGACTGGCGGAGGGGGGGCAGTTTGGGGTGGCCAGAGGGGGACAGTTGGGGGTGACCAGGTTGGCGGGGTAGGAGGGGCAGTGAGGGGCAATCAGGCCAGCAATGGGGGGGGGGCAGTTGGGTGCAACCAGACTGGCAAGAGGGGGGCAGTTGGAGGCAACCAGGCCAGTAGGCAGAGGTGGTTAGGGGTGATAAGGTTGGTGGAGTGGGGGGACAGTTAGGGGTGATCAGGCAAGCAGGTGAGCAGTTAGGAGCCAGTGGTCCCTGATTGTGAGAGGGATGTCTGACTGCTGGTTTAGGCCCAATCCCTGTGATCAGGCTTAACCCAGCAGTTGGACATTTCCTGAGGGGTCCCAGATTGGAGAGGGTACAGACTGGCCTGAGGCGCGCGTGCGCGCATGTGCGCGCACACACACACACACACACACACACACACACTTCATGAATTTTGTGCACTGGACCTCTAGTATATATAAAAAGCCAGTGACTGGAATGCCAGAACGATTGGAATGACCAGTCATTATGACATCCACTGTGACCGGTCAACCGGCCCGATCAGGAGTGGGGCCAGGCAGGCAACCTCTCGCTGCCCCTCCCTTTGGTCAGCCCCTCCTCCAATCAGTCCCCCCATAGAGGGCAGGGCCAGCTGACCTCCTGTGGCTTTCCCCCTGCTGACCTGGCGCCAATAGGACCCCAATCAGGGGTGGGGCTGGTGGTAAACCTCCCATGGACTCTCCCCCGAGCCAGCCCAGACCCCCATTGCCTTCCCAGCCCTGATCAGGGGCGTGGCTGGTTGGCAAACTGCCCGTGGCCCCTCTTTTCAGCCAGCCCCACCCCTGATCACCGTCCCCCATTGGGGATGGGGCTAACCAACCTCCTGCAGCCTCTCCCCCCTAGTGTTCACCTGCCATAATGGGGCCCTGTTGGGGGGTGGGGCCATCAGCCAACCTCCTGTAGCCCCTCCTCCCAGCTTGCCAGCTCCCCCCCCCCCATAGGCCTCCATCACCGAGCAGGCTGAGGACCTACCCACCTACCCATGCACGAATTCATGCACTGGGCCTCTAGTAATAATAATAATAATAAAGTCACACTGTCTACATTATAGAACCATTGTGAAGTTCTTCAGGAGGTACTTACTGCATATGAAGCACTTAGTGCCTTGTGTATAATGATGATCAGTAAATGTTAGTCATTTTTATTATGCTAATGTGAGATGGTGGGTTGCCTGGAAGAGAGAAAGAATGAAGGAATAGAGGGATAGGGAAGAAAAAAGTACTGACAGTAGAATACAACTGGCCTGTCTTCAGTTTTTAAAGTTCTCCAAACCAACCTGTTTTAGTCATATTCCTAAATACATGTCATGAATGGCATGAATACTATTTTAGTTTTTAGCTGCCCCTTAATTTTTCAGTTCTTTATTGAGATTCTTATTGTATTCTGAACAAAAACAGAAAACAACAAACAAACAACCAACCTTCACATCCCCCAAAGTAGGGTTTTGAGGATTTGGATATCAGTTTGTAAAAACAAATTATATTATGTTTCCAGCTGATGTGGTTTTTGTACTAAAAAATGCAAATCTTATCACTTGCATTACGTTGCTTTTTAAACAGATGAAGATGAAGATGGTGATCGAATTACAGTGAGAAGTGATGAAGAAATGAAGGCAATGCTGTCATATGTAAGTATATTACAAATGAGGACTATCTTAAATACATTACTGTGATTAAGGATGCTGTTTCTTGGCAGAATGAAGGTATAAAAATAAATCACAATTGCCATAACATTTTTCTATGTGGTATATAAGGTTTTCAAAGATTTCCTTATGTGAAAGTTAAGGGCATTCTTTCCAAAAAACACTTACTGATCATATCATGAACATTAAGAATAATGCATCTTAATGACTTTTGCATTAGGTATGGTGCAGACTAAATGGACTATCAATTTCCTGTATTTTTTATGCAGTACTTAAAGTAACGGCTCATTAAAAATGAACCCCTGGGCTCTAAAAAATTTTTCAAAATCTACTTTCAACTGGCGATCTCTTTCACCCTTACAAACACACTCTAGTTATAACGTAGCTGCAGGCTCAATATGGATACGCAATTTAAAGATGTGCTCTCCATTATTTTATCCACCTCCTTATACCCATCTCAAGATGAACTACTATGGGGTTACTTACTGAACCAAAGTGATTTGAATATATTCTGAAATGACTTTTGTGTTTTGGATTTCAGTGAAAATTTGCATTAATGCTTGTCACAGGACTGAAGTAGATCAACAAGAGAAAAGATTACATTTCTAAAACTTTAATACTGAGCTTCAAAAATTCAACTGTGATAAAATAAACAAATTTCCTCTTATTTGTTTTATTTTATTTTATCTGAGTTTGTAAGGGTTTACGAAATCTCTAACGGTCTGGTGGAAAAAACAGTGGACTGGAAGCCAGGAGACCCAGCTCTTTTCTGGTTTCCCTGGCCTTAGGCAAATCACTTAACCTTTCTATGCTATAGTTGCCTCATCTGTCAGTTGTGGATAATAATACATGTCCTTTCTACCGCACAGGGTCATTGTAATGATCAAATAGGGGAGTAGCCGTGAAAGGCCTTTGAAAATGAAAAGTTCTATACAAATGCAAAGTGGTATTATGTTGGAAATGATAGTGAGACACTAATCTTAGCTAACAGTTAGGTTGTAGGTAGTTGATAGACTTCAACTTCAACCCAAGGTATTGTCTCACTGTAATGAAAACTGTAAAATATCTGTGTGGGTTTCTGCCAATAGTTTTAATTTAGGGTAGGAGGAAAGCGAACAAGAAGAATGGCATGATTAACAGAGCGTTGCATTCAGAGCTGCACAGAGTGGGAAAAGTCAATTTCCCATTGACTTCCCATTAACTTACTTGAGAGTCCTTGTGCTTTGAGAATTTAGAGCAGGGCTCATCAGCACCTTGAAAGGTAGAGTAGGATGGTCTGCTGAAAGGTCTAGCACTCGTATTGATAGATTTCTAACTCTCCTGGGAATGTGACATGCTTATTCTTAGAAAACACACACACACACACAGGTTGGTTCTAGTTTTTTCACATGCATCTATTGCAGAGTACGTTACTGACAACAGTATACTTTCATTATGTCTCTGACATATGCACATTAAAAGGTGTGTTTTCAATAATGTACTTTTGGGAAGATCTGACAAATGGTGCCTTTTAAGAATGTTACTGCATGTAATCATAATAATTTCTAGGTTTTTTTGGTGCCTCATCTATATACTAGATGCTTATGGTATTTCATTTTCATTGGTTTTAACCACTCTACGAGGTAGATATTGTCATTTCTTTATTTTAGATGAGGAAGCCCTGATTAACAAACATGCTGAAGGTCTTAGAAGCTAGTATGAATGTAAATATGGAATGTTAAGTTCCATTTCTTCTCTTAGCTAGGTAGCTAGCTCAGTTGGTTGAATGTTGTTCCAATATGCCAAAGTTGCAAATTCAATCCTGGGTCAGGGCACATACAAGAATCAACCAATGAATACGTAAATAAGTGGAACAACAAATTGATATTTCTCTCTCCTTCTCTCTCTCTCTCTCAAATCAATCAATCAATAATTTTTTTTTAAGTTCAGTTTTTTCTTATACCAAAGCTCATGATCCTTTACTGCTTTACACTGTTTCTCTCCTATTCACCTCCGTGCACATTAACATTGGGATCTTTCTATGTATATATTTCGTATGATTTCTGCTTATTTTCTCAAATACAGTGCTTAGTTTTGTAGGAAAATGTTAGTTATGTTATTCTTTTTAAACTTCAAAGTTCCTGACACTTTTTGAGAGCCACTTTTTAATCTGAAATCAACTAGCTCCTTGATCCCCAAATATTTAGGTTTCATGAACTAATCAGTCTTTCATTTTTAGGTTGGAAGACAGACATAGGCATGGTAATGTTTAATTTTGCCAATGAAACCAAACCTTAATACATAAATTAATAAAAGTATCTACTGTTAACCATTATTTTATTAATAGAGTGAGAGTTATTTAAAGATTAAAACATTAAGCAGTACATAATCTCAAAAGTAAAGATCATTAAAGTGAGTAAATTTAGTTTTAATGTAAAAACTCACTACATTATTCTTTCTATTAATTTGTTGTGGATATTGAAAACTTTTTTTATGAATTGGTAGTGGCTTACAGATTGTGGTCAGGCCAATTAGGTCCAGATTTTCTCACTAATTCACTTAAAAAATACTTAAGAGGCCTCGCTGATATGGTTAAGTTAGATTAGCGTGTCATCCCACACCGGAGGGTTGCAGGTTTGATCCTTAGCCCTTTGGTATTTCTTTAATATAAGCAAAGCAAAAATAAATAGAAACACTTTTTACCACAAATCTTTTAATTATTCTTTCCTATTGATTACAAAGTTTAAATGAATAAACAGCCTGAATCTCTGCCTAAAATTTAAAAAAAATTTTGCAATGCCTAAGTTGTAACTTGCAGAATTGCTTTTTTTTTTGCTTTTTTTAAATTGGATACAAGCATTTTCTGGCTTTGGGCCAACAGAAGCGTAAGTTGTTGGGTGTGTTTTTTTTAATCAGTAATTTAAATAGATTTTTGTATTAGATCTGAAAATGTTGCCTTTTTAATTGAAAACTTATCAATTATTTAAATTGTTAGCAGCCTTAGGCTGTTAATTTTATGTATGCCATAATAGTGACATACAATGAGTTTTGATACATGTGACACATGGAATATCGCATTGTGCTAAGGATTTGTCATAACAATAGATTGTTGTGTGCTGTTTAAGTAATAACCAATATATTAAACCAAAGTGTTGCCACACATTAGTTCCATTTTATATAAGTTATTTAGAAGTTGCATTCTTTTCTTCATTGGATATATTTTTAAGAGATAATGAGAAGAAAACAAAGCTATAATAAATTGTCTTTTGAGAAAATTTAAAGTAATTTGGTCTCCAAGGAGATATTTAATGTATTGAGAGAATTCAGCAGCCAAGTGTTATTATAGCACCATTGTGATAGCTCTCTGTGTTCTGTTATGAGTTTGTGTTAATCAACAATCTGGTTTTATAGCGTAGTTTCTTATAAGTTATGTTGTTAGAATATTCCACTTCTGGGATCATGGCTTTTTCTCTGACACTGTTGTATCTTTTTAATTCCTCCATAAAGTATTTTTTTAATTAGAATTTGAAATGCTTTATTAGGAAAAAAATACACCCAACCTACATATTTTAAAAACTGAATACCTGATCATTGCTAATTACTTAAAGGACCCTATTAAATATTCCCTTAATGTAGTTTACATTTTTTGTTTGTTTGTTTGTTTTCCCCCTCATTTTTTAGAAAGATTGAATATAGTATGCTGATTTTCTTCTTCCATTTTTTGTATTTGTTGCCTTGTAGTGCTGGCTTCATTTCCCTATAGCATCAAATAACAGTGCTGGGCCTTGTTTATTGATTCCTCATAAACTTTGTCTATCACTGAGGCCCAGCTGTAGGAAGGGGTTATTTTCATGTTAACCTCTACTTTTGGGTGACCTTTCATGAAGAAACTCAGTAGTACATTTTACTTTTGTAAGTGGGTTCATATTTGTTTCTGCTAAATCCTATGTCTAGTAGAGGATTTGTTGTACTTGGTTCTCTCGATACTGAGGCGCTTGTATGAGTGCAGCCCAGTAGTAACAAGAATAATTTTCTTCATTTTGCCCATTCTCTCTATATATACCATTTTCCCCCACATTGCCAAAAAAGAATTGGATGAGTTTAATTGTAAAGCCTCCCATTAAGGCTGAGCCCCTGTGTTTTAGTAGAGTGTAAGTATTCCCTGTGGAACACTTGACCATAGTTAGACGTGGTACCATGAGGGAAACTTCTTTTTGACCTCTATAGCACTGTGTAAATCGGGATGTGATTAGCTTTAGCCTACCTAATACGAACAACTTGGAGATCGCCTCTAAAATTATACAGTTCCTCAAGTAGAGTTGGAAGGGAGGCTTAGCAGTCTTGTTCATCTGTTTCATTTCACAGAGAAGGAAGCAGGCCCAGTGAGATCAGATTCAATGGGAGGTTATTTTGGTATGAATGGGAAGGTCTGGACACAGATCCAGGCCTTTGGCTCCCAATCCTTTCACTCCCAGTCTCTTCACTCCCAGTTTTAAGTGATGTTTTTGTTTTGGCATCTATTGAGGTAATATTACTAATATTAAATATAAAAATACTCTGGGCTTTTAAAGTTTTAAAGGTTTTCTTCTTACCTTTAAGGCTGAGTTTTACCTCAAATTTTCTTGCTGTTAGGAGTTGAACATTTTACAGCTTTAGCCTTTGCTATTAGAAAGTTTCAAAGAGCAAAGAGACTGAAAGCTCATTTTCCACATGGTGCTTTTAAATATTCACCATATTGAGTAGGTCTTACTTTGAACTTATTTTGTGCATAGAAAATCAGCTCAAGTCTTCAATGAGCAGTTAGTCCCCTAATTCAATGCAATTAATCCAAACAAACTGTTAATGCAGTACATTCTCCTGGTAGGGTGGAAAAATGATGAAAAGAGTGAGAAACTGAATGAAACAAATAAATTGTTTTGGAAATTATTCCATTTTTTTCCCTTCAAATAATAACATGCTCTAAACTGTAAGTAGAGTTATTTCATTCATCGAATAAAGCTTTTTTT